TGTGTGTGTGTGTGTGTGTGTGTGTGTGTGTGTGTGCGCGCGCGCGTGTGTGCGTATGTGCGTATATGTGCGTGCCTATGTGCGCACACTCAAGCCGAAGCCACGGGGGCCGCGTGGGGGAAGGGGCAGGGCGTCACTCCAAGCTTTCTGTGTGAGCAGAGCTCCCCGGAGGGCCGGATGAGCTCATGGGCCCCTGGGCGGCGGTGCGCAGAGTGAGGCCTTGTCCAGATGTGAGAGATTAGTGCTGAGCTGCTGGGAGAACGAGCGAAAGACCTCAGCCCGGCCTCTTCCCAGGAGGGATCCTGAGGCCAAGTCAGATCTCATGGCACACACGGAGGGGAAGGGGTGAGGCTAAGGGAAAGAGGCGGAATCTGGCTGCTCGCGGAATCCACAGCTCTTCTTGGGCTGCGAGAACTCGAGGTGGGGAAGAGGAGCCTGGGGTCTGCAGGAGGACAGGTGCCGCTTAGGGCAACAATTTGGCCAAAGGCAGACGGAAGGGGCGTGTCACAGGCCTGGCCAACAGACCCCCTTCCCCCTTCCCATGACAGCCCGCTGTGCGTGAGGACAGCACTTCTGGTTCCGGGCGCCCCAAAGTCTTTCCCCTCCAGGCAGAGCACCCCAGTGTCACGGAAACAAAAGAGAAAGATTCCAGGGTCCGTTGACCGTGGCCACTTCCAAGCCTCTCCAGTCAGAGCCACAAGGGGCTCTTGCCTCCATCTCCCCAGCATTTCACACCCACGTGCTCAATCCACCGGGGTTGTACTCCAGCGACTCCAGCAGACAGCTGCCTTTCACGGTGGAAAACATCTAACTGTACCTGCGCCCCACCTGCCCTTCACCCCGCTCCTGAGGGTCGATCTGCACACTCTCCCCTTGCCCCACCCAGCTCCCCAGGCTTGGAGTATTTTGAAGTAAATCCAAGACATCATGGCATTTCAGCAGAAAATATTTCAGCGTGGGTCTCTAAACAACTCACTTTTATAGCTGTAGTGAACACGCTGTTATAACACTGTCCTCCCCTCTCCAGTTCAGGAATACTCCACTGCCCTTTGAAATGGGTTTTCTAAGTTCAGAGGATGGGGATCATGAAAAGGAGAATCTAACAGCCAAACTGATCTCCATTTAAGACTCTGAATTCCTCAGCTTACTGTCACTGTAACAAAATGCCCGAGGAAGTTGGTTTTAAAGAGAAAAGGAATGCTGGGCTTTGGAGATGCCAGTGCATGGGTGTCTGAGAGACAGAACAAAACCTCTCACCGTATCAGCCAGGAAGAAGGAAAAGAAGAGACCAGGGTCTCATGGTCCCCTTTGAAAAGGTCTTCCCACGAGGCCTAACCTTGGGAGGTCCACCTTACCTCCCAGTAGCACCACCCTGGGGACCAGCCTTTAATACATGGGCTTCTGGGGACACTCAAGAGCCACGCTCTATCAACAGGTGTCCCCAAACCTTTCAGTGACACCAGCCCACCTCCATGGTCCCCGTCACCTGCCACTGCCCACATCTCCTGACAGCTCTGTACCCCCCTTCCCCACTCATGGCTCCCTAATAAACTGGCTCTCAAAGAATAAAAGTATTTGCTGATTTCTGTGTATAAATATTGTCACCAGCGTTACTATTTTAACAACCCACTCCCAGGATTCCTTAAAACATAACACTCTCCCCTCCGTCCAGGAATTTCCGGCAGAGGATCCAATCAGTCTTAGAGAAGCCATCGGGCAGGAACTCGCTTGCACTTGGGGCCCTCCAGGAAGCTTACCTTTCCCTGTTTTCACTGCCTCCCCTCTCTTCTCCCTCCATGGGTCAACCCCAAATTCCTTGGCCTCCATCTCCTCAGGAAACACATTCCGGTCTCCTTCCTGTCCCTCTGGCTACAAGCATAGTTGTGTTTCTCTGGTGCTTACGAAAATAAGCTGACAAAGTAACGCTCTGGACCCAGTGATCTGAGCTCCCTGCCTTCCTAGCCAAGCATCAGGAGCAAGTTTTCCAGCATCTGAGTCCCCACCACTGACCTCGCCTGCCCTGTTCATCCAGCAGAATCTACACCCTGCTTGTCTTCCACCTGCCCCTCAGGCAGAAAAGCTGGGTGGTGTTAAGCAGGAGTTTCCTTTTTTTAAGCCTTTTAAAAAATTGGTACATTTTAAATACACATGATGATCACGTTCATCATGGGGAATTTGTACCTGGACATGGTATGTCTTGCTTCTTTTTTTCCCATTCCCCTCCACTGCCTTCAAGCCCTCGTCCCCTTATTTACAAAAGCTTTGTTTCTGTTTTTTTCCTCACCCACCCCCCGCCTGTTCCCCTTCTCATTTGGACGTTCTCTTCCCATTTCCCAATATCTATGATACACTTCGGTCCTTATTTACACTCTCACTTTCTCACACCGGAGAAACTGTGCAGTATTTAAACGTGTGGGTACAATTTATCTCACTTAAAAGAGATTCAGTCACAAGGTGCATCCATTTAGCTAGAAATGTCTCGAGCTCACCCTTCTTTATTGTTTCCAGTATCTTACTGAGGATTTTTGTGTCTGTTCATTAGGGAGATTGGACTGTAGTTCTCTTTTTTGGTTGGATCCTTCTCTGGCTTTGGAATCAGGGTAATGCTTGATTCTAGGAATGAATTTGGGAGTACTTCTTCCTTTTCAGTTTCATTAGAGTTTGAGAAGTAGCGACATTAGGTCTTCTCTAAATTTCTTGTAGAATTCAGCACTGAATCCATCAGGGCCTAGGCTTTTCTTTGTTGTTAGGTTTTTAATTAGATCTTCAATTTCATTGACTGATACTGGTTTATTTAGAATTCTTATATTTTTTGATTCAACTTTGGTAATTTATATTTATCTAGGAATCTGCCCATTTCTTCTGTGTTTTCTGTCCTATTAGAGTGCAGGTTCTCAAAGTAGGTATTGATGATATTCTGGATCTCTGCAGATCTGTTGTGATTTCACCCCTTCCATTTCTAATTGCATGGATTTGAGTCTTTGCTTTTTTGATAAGGTTGGCTAAGGGTTTGTCAATTTTATGTAATCTTTTGAAGAACCAACTCTTTGATTCACTGATTCTTTGTATTGCTTTCTTAGTGTCCATTGCATTAAGTTCTGCTCTGATATTTGTAATTTCCTCCCTTATACAAGCTTTGGCTTGATTACTGCTCTTTTTCTAGAAGCTTGAGGTTCAATATTAGGTTATTTATTTGAGCTTGCCCTATTTTTCTGATATGGGAATTCACTGCTATGAATGTTCCTTATACAACTGCTTTCACTGTGTCCTATAATTTTCAGTATTTTGTATTTTTATTATTGTTTAATTGCAGAAACGGTCTAATTTCTTTGTTAACTTCATCTGTGACCCATTGGTAGTTCAGGAAAGTGTTTTTTAATTTCTATGTGTTTATGAGCATTTTGTGATTTCTTTTGCCATTGATTTCCAGGTTCATTGCACTATGATTTGATGATATGCACCAGATAATTTTAATTCCTTTGCATTTGCTTAAGCTTGTTCTATGAGCTCGTATGTGGTCTATTTTGGAGAATATGTTGTGTGCAGCTGCAAAGAATGTGTATTCTGATGTTGTGGGGTGGAGTATTCTATAGACAACTACTAAGTCCATTTGCTCAAAAGTTTGGTTCAGTTCTGACATTTCTTTGTTGATGTTTTTGTCGAGTTGATCTGTTTATTTGTGCCAGTGGGATGTCGAGGCCCTCCGTTACAATTGTATTAGTGTTTATTTGATTTTTCATTTCCATTAATATTTGTTTTATCTAGTTGGGTGCACTGATATTTGGTGCATATATATTCATGATTGTTATCTCGTCCTCTTGGATTGTTTCCTTTAAAAGGATGTAGTGACCTTCTTTGTCTCTCTTAATCAGTCTTTGCTTGAAATCCACTTGGCCTGCAAACAGCCACCCTGCTTTTCTCCCAGTACCTGTCACATGGACTATTGTTTTCCACCCTTTGACTTTCAGTCTGTGAACTTCTTTTTGAATTAGACGTTTCCTACATGCAGGATATTGTTGGATCTTGGTTCTTGATCCATTCTGACAGTCTGTTTCTTTGGATTGATGAATTGAGAGCATTAGCATGGATGGTTATAACATATTTTTGGCTCATCCTTGCCGTGCTGTTTTGGCTCTCCCTGTTAGCATCCTCTGTTTAATTATTTGCCTTGCTTGGTGGGTTCGTTTGTTGGGGTTCATGGAGTTTCAGCCCTCATTATCTTTCCCTGGAATGTTCTTCAAAATATTTTGGAGTGCTGGTTTGGTAGTCATGAATTTCTTCAGGTGTTCTTCGTCTTGAAAGTATCTTATTTCTCCAACAGTATTGAATGATAGTTTTGCAGGGTACATCAATCTGGGTTGTTTTCTATTAGGGCTTGAAATACTTTACTCCAAGCTATTTTTGACTTGAGAGTTTGTATTGAGAAGACTGCTGTGATTCTAGTGGACTTTCCTTTATAGCTCATTTGTTTCTTTTCTCTAATATCTTTTTTTCTTTAGTACCAGCAATGAGACTCAGGACCTTGCCCTTGCCAGGCAGGCACAGTGCCACCGAGGTAAATCCCTGGCCCATCTAACAGCTTTTAATATTCTGTTCCTGTATTGAATTTCTGGAATCTTGACTAATATATATGCCTGGTGTAGATTTTTTTTGATCATGGCTAATGGAGTTTTTTCCTTTCTGGCAAATGAAATTGAACTCAGGACCTTGTGCTTGTGAGGCAGGCACAGTACCACTGAGCTAAATCCTGGCCTGCTAATGGAGATATATGCCTCACTTATCTGTATGTGAAATTCTTCCTCCCTGCTTGGGAAGTTTGCTGCCACTACTTCTGTGAAGTTTTTTATTTTTTAAATGTCATTTGCATTATCTGCTGCTTTTCCATTGACTTCAATCAATCTTATATCATTCTTCTTTGCATCATCTAGCAGATGTTGGGTTGATGTGTGTGTGTGTGTGGGTGTGTGTGTGGTCCCTTGGTATTTCTAGAAATCTTTATCTTCATGATTACTAACCACAATCCTGTCTTCTATATCTGATATTCTGTTCTCACAGAGGCTCATTCTGCTGCATATACTTTCAATGTTTCTAAGCATCAGTTTCCCTGTGTCTAAACAGGTGGTAAAGACAGGCTGTGGGGAGGTGATTGAATTAACATTCTTGCTTAGTGTGCATTACACTGCACGCCAACACTCATCAATGCCAGCGTGACCACTGTCAACGCTATAGCTATCACATCCCCCCTCATTTTCTGCCCCTCTCTTCCTCTCACTGCTGTCTGTGACCATCACTTCTTACCCTGATTATTGCAGCAACTTCTTGCCTCCAAGGACAGGTGACTCCAACTCATTCTCTACATTTAAAAACTAAAAATATTCATCTGCTAAAATGAACCTCCAAGGCCTGATTAAGGCCTGGGGATGCAGTTATACTCTTTGGCTTGTTTTCACAATCCCTGCTCCCTGTCCCATCTGCCACCACCTGAAACTTGCAGCCACTCCACACTTCCAGAACATTTGTCCAAGGAGCCTGGGATCTCCTGCCTGTCCATCTCTCCAGGGTGGAAGCCTCTCCTTTCCTGACATCACCTGGCCCGAGCATTGCCTCTGTAAGTGGCCATGGCCGCAGAGTCAAGGGAGTGACTGGGGCGGCCACACCACACACTGGCTCGTTGTGGGCCTCATGGCTATGTCAGGACTCACCTTACTCCCAGGGTTTTGCAGGAGTCTCTGAGCTAAAGAGAAACTGAGGGAACCACACTGACTAGACTTGTTTCCCCACAGCTGCAGAGCCCCTCAGCACCTCCCAAGGAGACCCAGCTTGGAGCACAGGCTGTGACAGACTCGAGGCTGTCCAAGGCCGGTTAGACGTCATGGAGGAGGTAATAAGGGTGAAAGGGGGCCGGGACGGGGGACAGGAATCTTCAGGACTACCTGCCAGATGGGTGGATTTCTGGGGCACTGATCCACCTTTCTCTGGATGTCAGGAGATCCAGGCTGATTCTGTGCCCCAACACCCCTTTGCCCTAACTGGGCTGCTTGGTAACCAGCTCCCTCTACCCTTTGCCTCCCCTGGGACCTTGCTTGTACCCAGCCTCCCACCTCTCCAAAATAGGGGAAGTGGAAATTCAGTCATCTTGTTTTGTGGTACAACCATAACTCAAAACTTCGGATTTACAAACTTGTGGGAGTTTATATCTTTTGTCACAAACCTTTCCTCAAAAAGTACCTTTCTGATCCATAAGATTATTACCAGTACCATGACCAAAATCACAGATTTCAGCCCATCGTAGTTGTTAGGACTTTCTCATCATGTCCTTCACAATCCACACTGGGCCAGGATGACAGTAATTGATAGGCCTGATGTTGATGACTTAATGCATAATATCAAAACTTAAATTTTTAACTTGAATAATGTATTTGATGACCTTCCTAGTCCTTTATGTTTTACTTTTGCATTTAAAGTTATCCTTTTTTGTTTAAAGAGTAATTCTGAGGAGATTCTATAGGTTGCATCATATGCCAACAGGGTCCAATGGTTCAGAAAATCCATTAGGGATCCTGAATAAAGAAAATTTTAAAGTTAAAACTCCAGACCTGCTATTTGGCAGTAATGCCACCAGGGGGCGGGGCAACAAAAGGAATGTGAGTTCGGGGTGTGCAATGCCAAAGGAAAACCAGCGTTCCTGAGATCCACCCCTGAGAGCCTGGTATTAAGACCTCTGAGTACCAGACGGGGAGGGCCTTGGAGGATGAGCCCCCAAGATGTCGTCCTCTGGGGAAGCTGAGGCGGGGAGAGGCAGCACTGGATGAGGAGGACCCGGACCCTCAGCACAGGTCCCCTCCCCGTGCACACCGTGGTCCTTAGGTTGCTGTCACCTGGGCAGATTGTCCCACGCCGGCCCTAGACTCTGCCCTGCTTCCCACTGCAGACGGTGGAGAAGACGGTGGAGCACCTGGAGACCCAGGTGAAAAGCCTGTTGGGACTGCTGGAGGATCTGGCCTGGAACCTGCCCCCGGGGCCCTTCAGCCCGGCCCCCGATCTCCTCGGGGATGGTGAGTGGCTGGGCAGAGGTCGGCCCCTGGGCCTGTCACCGGGGAGGCATCGCCCAGCCCCTACTTCTCTGTAGACACCACCTCCGCATGCCTCCTTCTCCCTTCCCTGGATGCCCCCTGGTTGCACCTGGCACTCCCTGGGGAAGATGGCATTCCCATGGTGGGCACCAGTGGGGTTGTCCCCTGCTCCCTCCTTGCAACCTTTTCCCTGGACTGCAGCTCCCAGGGAGGGGCCGGGAGAAAGCTGCTTGGTTCCGCAGGGTTGAGGTGCCTTCGCCGACCCCAGCGCCCACACTGAGCCACCTCTTTCTTCCAGATCATTTCTGAGCACCGAGGTGGGGCAGCTACTGGAGGTGATGCCCGTTCAACAGCATCCTCTGAGGGCAGAGCCACGCCGTCCTTCCCCACCTTCATGCGAAATAAAAGCTACTCGTCCGGTCCCCTGTGTTTGCACAGTCCTCCTCCCTCTGCTACCCTCCCTGAGCCCCATCTCCCTCTGGACTGAGGTCCGAGACCCTCCCTGGCCGTGTTTCGGCCCACTTCTTTATAGGGGCAGACTGGGCAGGGGTCATGCACAGAGGGTGGCAATGAAGGCAGAATCCGAAGGGGACGCAGCCTTGCTGGTGGAGTGAGGCCCTAGAGGAACAACAGCGCCGCCACCTGGACACCTGTCAAAAACGCAGGCTCTTGGGCCCTCCCCCCCACCCCCCACCCCACCGACCTACCGAATCCCAATCTGCACACCCCCCCACCCCCTGTACCGGAGCGTGGCGCCACTGAGCGACATCCCCGGCCCTCACTCTCAATCTGCACTTTGATGTGATCTCCAGGAGTCATTCGACGCTCTTCCCCACCCCACCGCTCACCCCTGTGCTGGGGACCGAGTTCCACTTGGCCACTGAGCTGTAACCCTACCTCCTTTTTTCAATCCCTATTGCAATGAAACAGACGTACCAAATGCCCCAATTTAAAACTTCAAATTCAGTGGTTAGCAGTACATTCACAATCATCGAATTCTAAAACATTTTTATCAACCCCAAAAGGAACCCTTGGGCAGTTAAGCTGTCATTTCCCATGCCGTGCACCCCCACCCCTGGAATCCGCGAGTCTTTGTTTTTATGGGCTTGCCTATACTGGGCGCTTCATATAAATGAAACCACGCACATGTTGTCAAGGTTCGTTCCAGTCTCAGTCTCAGTTCTGCATGCCTGTTTGTGGCTATGTTCCACTGTGTGCACAGGACACATGCCTCCATCCCCCCCGAGAATGACAGGCTGTTGGCACTTTTCGGCTGCTGTGCGCAATACTGTGAAGAATTGGTCAGGCAGGTTCTTGTGTGCACCCATGGTTTTCTTTCTCCTGAGTATATGGCTAGGAGTGAAGTTGCTGAATGGGTGGTAAAACTACATTTAGCTTTTGGAAGAACCACTAGGCTGTTGAGCACAGCAATTGTGTTACTTTAAAGTCCCAACCAGCAGTGTCAGCTATGGGTGGGGGGGGTAGATGCCCTTTGACTGAGAAATTTCCCTTCTATTCCTAGATCCTTGAGTGTTTTAAAGACCGCTGGGTTTTCTCATATGCTTTCTCTGCACTTGAAAAAAGAAAATGCAGAGGATCACTGCCAGGGTGGGAGAGTGGTTCCCATTGCACTACGTTTCAGAAATGGTCTGTTTTCCAGACTCGTCTCAAACTCCCAGCCTTCCTGCCCCAGCCTGGCAAGCAGCTAGGACTGCAAGCATGCACCACTCCATCCCACCCCTTCATTTTACCTGTAGCTTGCAGTATTGACTGATTTTCCTATATGGCATGACCCTTGCATTTCTGGGGGAAAATGCCCTTTGGTCCTAGCATGTAGTCCTCTATTTGGTTCCACTGGATTTCCTTAGTTCTTTCTCCACGGTTTTATTTCAGCTCTTTGAGTTTCTTTTTACAACTGATTTAACCCAAGCTCGGAGAGCTAGTAATGGAATCCTGTAAGATTATCGACTTTTAACATTATGATGTGATTTTTTTAAAGGACACTTTCCATGTCTCAACTGCTCGGTGCAGGAGTTTGGAAAAGTTTGAAGAAGCCAGTTGGAAAAGCAGCCCCAGAATGCTGTAAACCAAGCTTGATGGGAAATTCTGATTAGAGCTTAGAAGCCCAAGATACTGATATAAAAACAGATGGAAAAGATCAAGCCTGGAGAGTTTTCATGGGGTGCAAGGACTCGGACTCCTGGCAGTTGGACTCCTGGCTATGTGTGTTTGCTCTGGCAGATAATTTGTCTATAATTGTTCATACCTTGAGGCTCTGTGGGAGCCTGAGATTAAGGGTGGCAGATTAATCTGGCAGAGGAAATTTCAAGGCAGCCCAATGTTGAAGCTATGGCTTGGATACCTGTTGGGGGCTTTTAAAAGGTTTATATTGAAAATCAGGTGCAAAAAGCCCACTTTGAGCCGACGTGGTGGCACACGGCTGTAATCCCAGCACTCCGAAGGCTGAGGCAGGAGGATCACTGTGAGTTTGAGACCAGCCTGGGCTACATAGTGAGTTCCAGGTCAGTCTCAACTACATAGTGAGACCCTGTCTCAAAAAAGCCCACGTCAAGTTTTTGGTTTCACCAGAAAAGAAATGCCTATAAACTAGGATAGGAGCAGAGGAGACCTTGGTTGCTGAAAAGATCAGTATAAACAACAACAGCAACAAAAAGGCACGTACTTTGGATCAGGATAATAGGAAGGGTGGTTTGAGGGCATCACAGGAACGAGCAAGGTCCCAACCCTTCGTGGGCTCAAAATTACAGAAGGGAAGCACCGCTCTGAGAAGAGAGTCCCAGGGCACCCTGCTTGGGAAAGGCTGCCTAAGCAATCGTTTGGTTGGGATTCACAGTGTGCAGCCATCCAGGTGCTGAGAAACCTCTGCTGGAGCTGGCGGCAGGCCTTGGTGTCATCCATGTGGTACAGGCACGCAGAATCCACGGTTCGTGGGGTCATGTAGGCTCCCACTCAGATTTCAGGAGGCCCGGGAGGCTTGGTAGTGCATCCCCGAGAGGGCAGTGTCCGAAACTGCAGGAGTGAAGCTGAAAGTGCAGTGGAGACCTCCGCAAGTTGAAGCCAGGATTATGGGATGTCTGCGGAAAGCCACAAGGAGTAAGCAATGCCAGCCCAAGAGAGAAGCCACAAAGCCTACAGCCACTGGCAATGCTATACAGATGGAGCCCCCTAAGCTACTGGCAGTTAATATCTACCCACAACTTGCTGTACATGGAATTACAGGATTTAGTTTGCCCTATTAGGCTTTGGTCTTGTTTTGGTCCCATTCATTTCTACCCTATTCCTCCCTTTTGGAATGGGAATGTTTATTCTGTGCCACTGTGTGTCAGCAGTGTTTAACTTTCTTTTTAACTTTTACAGGGACTCACAGCTAAGAGCTTTTCTTAAGTCTTAAAGGAGACTTGGACTTCTCGGCACTGCTAGAACTGGACTTTGGCAATGCTTAGAGAGGGATTACATGTATTTTGCATAAAGAGATATACATGAGTCTTCTGGGGGCCTGAAGTGGAATATCACTGTTAGATCTAAAGTGGCCCCCAAAGCCTCACACACTTAGGTGACTGGACTGTGGGGTAGTATAACCAATTTGCTGTTGGGAGGTGGGGTCTGGTCAGAGGAGGCAGGTCACTGGGGGAAAGGCCTGGCTTTATCTCCCTCCCAGGTCCTACCTTAACTCTCTGCTTCCTGTTCGCCATGCTGTGAGCAGCTGTCCTCCACCATGGCTCTCTGCATGTCCTGCACTGAAGCCAGCTGACTACGGAATGAAACGTGAACCAAAATAAACCTCTCATCCTGTAAGTTGTGGGTGTCAAATATTTTGTTCTAGTAACAAGAAAGTGACTAAGATGGGTTGCGTCCCTTGGGCATGATCAAGAGGGCAACCAGAGGCACAGGAAAGCAGGGAAAGCCAGCACCAAGAACAAAGAGGATCTATGTGTAGACCAGTGGTCTCAAATTTAAGGGTCTGCAGGGGCCGCAACAGCAAGGCCTGTTATAATACACGAAGTGGAGGACCCACGCCTAAAGGGACACTGAAACTGGCTCCAGCCAAGCAGGAATGCAGGCCTAGTGAGTGTGTGTGTGTGTGTGTGTGTGTGTGTGTGTGTGTGGCAGTGTTTCAAAGACAAGAATTTGAAGAATTGCAGATTTTTAAAACATGAAAGCTCCCAATGCTTACATGCTGGCAACAGACGCAAATTTCTAAACATTCTCTTGGGGACCAAAGTAAATGTATCTACAAGCTCCATACTGCCGGCTGGGAACCAAGCTGAGAACTCAAGTGTAGAGAAAGCAGTGTCACAGGACATTCACAGTCACACCAGAGCACATGAGCTCTAGGCCCTGTCATCGCTCAGGGGGCCGCCAGGCTCAGGCTGAGTTCAGCACACGTACTACGTTTGGCGTCCATCCCACCAGCTGGCACCCCATGGGCAGAGGCCCGCCCCAGGACAGGGGTGTCCTGGAGACCAGCAGGGGTGGGACCTCAGCTTGAGCTCTGGCTCCACGGGCCCCCAGGGATGGATGCTGAAGCAGACAGCCATCCAACGGCCACACCAGCAGCAGTTCGGGAAGGCAGGTCAAGCTACAGGCTAATGCCCGGTTCCCGAGCGTTCTACGGAGCCTCCTGGCTGCCGGAACTCTTCTCACTGCTTACAGGCAGTGACGTGTTAGGCAGTGTCCCCAAGCAGATGGGGACACAGGCCACTCCCCTGGGTTTCTGCCAGGGCCCAGCAGGCTCGATCCAGCCAAGTCCCTCTGGATTCTTCCCTTTCTCGACTCAAATACAGGAGGTCAGGAAGGAAGAGGGTAGAGCCCTGTACTCAGGGAGCCCAGCTCTGTGCTTCTGGAAAAGACGTGGTGATTCTTAGAACCCTGTCCTTTCTGGACGCCCCTCTCCTAGGGCACAGAGGACCTGCAGGGATGAAAGCCACATGCTCTCTTTTGACTGAAGACTCCAACCTGTGCCCCCTTTCCAGGACCTGGGTGGCGGGCCACCCACTCCCTTACTCTCAGGGGCCTGCAGCTGCACCCTCCCAGGATACCTGTGCCCTGTCAGTGCTCGACCTCCAGGGTGTTTTGGGGAGCCCCTTCTCACATCCATATGCCAGTCCCCGTGAATGAACCATGCTCAGGGTCCCAACACTGATTTCTACAAGTTGTGTAGATTTTCACTGGCTAATGAGGCAGAACCCCCAGGCCCTGAAGCGAAAGAAAACAAGCTGGCACCAGGAACAGATTTCCAGAACATTCCAGAGCTGGCCAACTTTAATTTGAAAAAGTTTTTTGGCTACAGACATACAGGTTTAAGGCACATTCCAAAGTACAAAGAGCCCTGTTACTGGTCAGGAACGGGCTTTTGCCTTGTGGTTTTGCATGGGAGATGGAAGAAATGACTGTCTGGCCTCTCTTTTTTTTTTTTTTTACCCCCCCTAAGAAGGAGTGGGTTTGGCAAAAACAAAGCTCATGACACATTCTCACCAGATGCACACATTACCCTTGCAGGCCCTCGGAGACGTTCACGGTTCTCACCAGAAACGTGTATTGGTACACAGACTAATATGTATCTGCTGGGCAATAACATCCAAGGAATAATACAAAATTATACAACTAAAATGATGCTGAGTCTTAGCCACAAGCAACAAGGAATGATTGCACAAGTCAGGAAATAAAACATTACTCTAACAGCCAGAGGCTGCCGGGAGTGGGAGGAGAAGGCTCCCTGAGGGAGCTCTAGCCACAACAGGCCCTGCAGCAGAGTGTCCAGACCAGGAGGGGCAGAGCAGGACAGGGCCACGGCTCTAGGGACAGAAGTGCACCTCGGGGCTACTGGTGCATTTGTGAGAAACAATCATTTGGCCTCATCCTGGCACTGTGTTGCCAGCAGGGGGCAGAAGCGAGCTACCAACCACGGCTCAGTCATTGCCACCACAGATCTTGAGCAGGATCTTCCGGTAGTCCCCAGAAGTGTCTCCCTGGTCATAGGAACAAGGACATCAGTTAAGTGAGGTATGGCCACTTCCCGCCTGCTGACTCTCCTGGCACAAGTGCCTTTGTGGACAAGCAGACCCATGCTAAGGAGTGTGTGTGTGTGTGTGTGTGTGTCCCTGCCCCAGGTGTCCCCTGCTGACTCTCCTGGCGCAAGTGCCTTTGTGGACAAGCAGACCCATGCTAAGGGGTGTGTGTGTGTGTCCCTGCCCCAGGTGTCCCAGAGCAGGTGGCCTGCACCTCAGGAAGTGCACCTCAGCCATCCTCAAGCCTCTGTTAAAGAACAGAAAGATGCGCTCATGCCAGTCATCAAAGGTAAGTAAAAATCCCACAAAATCTAAAATCAGCCTCCAAACCACTACCCAGGCTGATCAATATTCCTTTCCCCAGGCATGTGCGGGACACCAAACTGGGGTTCTACCATAATGAACAACGTGTCCCGCTTGGGAGCACATTATCTCCTCAGCCACACAAGGGAGGACACTGTTGTCACCCAGAGTGCCACGTGTCCAGGAACCCTGTGCTGTTTGACACCTCTGTACTCACTGTTGGGGAGCAGGGGCTCTGCTGATCCCTGAGCACTTCCTGCCACCTTGGCTCTCGGGAGGCAAGGCCTATGGCTTCTTCTAGACAGCTCAGCAGGCTGCTACTCAGGAAGTACTCTCTCTCTAATTACCAGTTCTCCGCTGATCACAGCAGTGTCTTTATAACATATACTTCTTTCAAAGAGAAGCCCAACAGGGACAAATGCCAGGGAGTCTGGAACGAGGACCTGGCCCTGGTGAATTTAGTTTTGTTTTGTTTTGTTTTTTTGTTTTTTGTTTTTTGAGACAGGGTCTCACTATGTAGTTGAGACTGACCTGGAACTCACTATGCAGCCCAGGGTAGCCTCGAACTTACAGCGATCCTCCTGCCTCAGCCTCCCACCTGGTGACGACTTTTTCAATTTCAAAGTTCAGGTGAGTTCAGACTGCAACCATCAGTCCAGGCAGACAAGAGCACATTTTGCCAGCCTGGCCCTGGAACACAGTGATCCACTGCAGCCAGTATTTGTTAGACACTCGGCAAAAACTGCCTGTTCAATACTCACACCACTCCTTGGGAGAAACTACTGCTGTTCTCATCTTAAACATGATGGGGCCAGGCCCCGGGTGGGTTCAAGATCGCACAAGTTAGCATGCAGAAAAGCCAGAACCAGACTCCTAAGTGAGACCACAGGCCCTTGCACTGAGCTGCTGCCTTACTATGCCTTACAAGGAGTCAGGAAGCCTTTGGGACAGGACTTCTGGCTGACGGATCACAATTCAGAGTGGCTGGGACTCCGGAGGTCAAGGCCGAGGTAGGCGAGGCCCTGAGATTTTCTGAATGCTATTGGGTAGACACCCCACGCAGTTACTGGGCAGTGGGGCTCCAGGCCAGCGATGCAGGGCTAAGACCTGCCGCACTGCACCTTCAGGAGCTGACAATCTCCTGGAAGCGAGTGCATGAACAAGGGAAGCTGGAGAGAATGGAGCTGAGGTCCCTTCACCCAGTGCCCATGTGCAGCCCAGAGACCAAGCACACGACTATTCCAGAAGGCGAGCGGAAGGGAACAGGGTGGGGTGTGCCCAGGAGGTGCACAGGCACAGTATGGGATGCCACAGGAGGTAGCCAGGGTCCGTACCGTGATGTCATGGTACAGCGATTTGCCATACATCCGCTTGTACTCCGCTCTGATGTCCAGGAGGTCAACCTCGCTTCGGGACACCATGATGCGAATCACTGTCCGGTCCTTGGTTCCTGCTCCCTAAAGGGAGGGGCATGAGCAACAGGCCACGCCCTCCGCCTCCCCAGTCCCCACCCTCCCCACTCACGGCTCAGACTCAGGCCAGGCTCTGCCGTGTTACGTACCCGCATGGCCTTATTGAGCCTCTCAGCGAAGAAGGCCGGGGTGTTCTTGAGACATTTCACTGGGAGAGAGAAAGGCAGCATAACTAGATCCGCAGCAAACTCTCAGCCCAGGAAGGCATGGAGTGAGTCCACAGGTGTCCCCCCGAGGCTGGGATGCCAAGCCCGTCACTGCACCCATCTCCTCACCACCACCACCCCCACACCAGGCGCATCGTGACTCCAGCTCTCTGGAACAGGAACGTGCAGAGCCTGGACACCAACCCACTCTCTTTCCTGGCTGCCACTGTGACAAAAGGATGGAGGCCCACAGGGACCTGGAGGGAAGAACTGCCCGGCAAAGAACTGTGCTGCTAAGCAGGCAGGAGGGGCCGACTGCAATCCTGGGACCCACACAGAGACAGCGAAAATCAGTGCCTTTCTGGAGTTCTCAGGCCATGAGCCACACCATGGGGGACGTGCAAAGAAATGAGGACTTAAGAGGATTTACTGTCTGTCCAAGAAAAGTGTGTGAAAAAATGGGAAAAGATTTTACAAGGTGGGTAAAAGGTGCCACAGAGGGAGAACCCCAGCCTACATGGCGGGACGGACCCCAAGCCCGCACCCTGCTTTGGGGGCACAGCTGCCGGAGCTCAGCCAGCTTTCCCCGGCATGGGCCTGCTCTGCTGTTGCAAGTAAAATCTTCCTCATGTTTCCATCACAAACAACTGAGGAGTGCCTGCAGAGAGGTATTTTTAGAGGAAACTTGGCAGGATGTGAGTCACCTTCCTACGGGAGAGCGGCTGGATGCCCTCCCACCAACGTCCACACTGCAGCACCCCCCTCTGCAGCCACAGCGGGAACATAAACAAGACACAGCCAGCCCGGACGGCGGGGCTCACTGCCCTCTGGGCCCGGCAGCAGCATGAGGTCCCACCAGTCGGACACTGCAGTTGGTGATACGAGGCCCTGAGGTTCTCTCAACGCAACACCCCTCAATAACCCTCAAGCAGAGGACCAGGAGCACCCTAGCAGCTGGCGACACACAGGCCACCGGGACACCTACCCACGGCCAGCATGCCATGCTCCAGGTCCCCCGACATCTCCCGGCAGATGCTCTTCTCGATGTCCCGGCCCGTCATCCTCTGATACTCGTTGAAAACTAGTAGGGAGGCAGAGATACACATCACAGAGCAAACTGGGTTCCCCTCAAATCCATGTTAAACTCCTAGCCCTGGGTACTACAGAATGAAACTGCATTTGGAGATGGAGATGGAGTCTTTAAAGAGGTGACTGCATTAGCAGAAGGCTGTTAGGTAGGGCTGAGCTGGTCTAGCTGGTGTCCCACAGAACCGCCAAAGATCAGAGATGCACATATACACAGGTTCCTTTTTTTGTTTGTTTCTGAGACAGGGTCTCGCTATGTAGTTGAGACTGACCTGGAACTCACTATGTAGCACAGGCTGGTCTCGAACTCACAGCAATCCTCCTGCCTCAGCCTCCCAAGTGCTGGGATTACACAGGGTCCCTGTATTATGATTTTTGTCTTGTTTTGTGGGTTTTTGAGACGGGGTCTCGCTATGCAGCCCAGGCTGGCCTCAAACTCCAAGTGATTCTCCAGCTTTAACCTCCCAAGTGCTGGGATCACAGGTGCGCACCACCTTGTGCGGCCACAATTGAGGATTTTTTTTTCCGCCTTACAAAGTGCACTCCCACAACAATTCTGTTTTTCATTTTCAGTGTCCGCTAAATTAGAGAAATACTCAACACTGATTAAAAACGAGACCCTGTGCTAGAGGACTTGCCCCATTATGGCTAAGGTAAGTACTCTGAGTGTATTTAAGACAGGCTAACTGGGCATGGTGATTGATACTTTGTAATCCCAATACTCAGGAGGCCGAGGCAGAAGGATTGCCGTGAGTTCAAGGATAGCCTGAATTACATGGACTGTCAAAAGAACAAAATCAAGACAAGTCAGGCATTACTGCTCCCACTCGGAGCCCAGTGAACCCAGACTCCACATTCTAACCTTCCCTCCTCCCAGCACCCTCCCTGGGAGCCCCTCTCGGTCCCCACTGCAGAGCACTGTGCCATGGGCTTCTCCCCGGTTCGGCCCTACTGTGCCCTGCCTGACTCCGTTGTTACCATTTCTCTCTGCAGGAGCTGCCGCCTGACCTAGAGACTGCTCTGTATGTGCTCCCTGGCTGTCCCTGAACAAGGTGGTAAGCCTGGTGAGGACAGGACCGTGGTGCTCTTCCCATGGCACCCTCAACCCTACGATGGGATGGGCATGTGGCCAGAGCTCCACCATGCACATAACAACAGTTAGCTAGTGTTTGTTACAACCGTGTCACACCACAGTAGAGCACCTGGTGAGGTGCCCCCAGGACACTCCCAGCTACGTGGCCCCACACCCCAGCAGCGGCCCACGGCCCAGCCTGACTTCCTCCAGAGCCCCTGCTGGCCTAAAGCCCTGGGTGGTATTTGGTAAATCACCAGCAGGGGGCAGCTCCCCTCCAGCCCTGAGGGGCCGGGACTGCCTTACCTGCCACCAGGTGGGCCCGGCTGCGGGAGCACAGGATGGAGTTGAACTTGGACTCATCTGTTCCCAGGCGATTCTCCCCGGCCGCATACAGCTCCTGTGTGAGGAGGAAGACATGCTGTGCCGGCCTTGTCCTGAGCCCCGGCACAGGTCACCCAGGCAAGGGGGGGCATGCGTGGCCTCAGCCCCTCAGGGGAAGGATATGGGCACCAGCGCCCTGGCAGTGGGAGCCTCAGAGGCAGAAGTAGCAACAGAAGTGGAAGTAGCAAGGGATATTCTGAGGATGGGGAACTCAGAGCAGGATATCCAAGAGAAAGCTGCCATAGAGCTATGGGGCCAGGACTTAGCACCCAGAGGTGAGCACTTAGCAGCAGGACCACAAAATCCACACTGCCGTGTGAAAATGTCCAATCTTGAGAAGCAATTTCCCTAAGATAAGAAGGAACACATGAGACAATGAACACTCTTAACAGCTGATAGCCGGCCCACAGTTGTGGATGTGGGATTTCACGTAATTTGATATTTTTCATTACCTAGACCATTAAGTAGGTTTAAAAGTGGCACAATTTGGAATTGCCCGTTAAACTTTTGAAGGTCTAAACCCAAAATATTTGCCAACTTGCAACCCTGCCCCAGTGACCTAAGGGTCTGAAACCCAGAAGCTCGGAGAAGCTCAGATATTCTACAGGTTAAGGTGCAGCTGACTCAGGTTAGGGACGAGGAGGGACAGCATGAAACCTCTGCCCTCCAGGAAGGGTGGGGGAGGTACCCCAGCTCCATCCCACCAGGAAGCCAGGCTCTCTCCAGCCAGCACCCTGGGGGTGAAATGCAAACTTCTCTAGGAAGCCACTCAGCTGCCTGGACTTTCCCCGACTTGTCTGCAACTCAGAAGGGGGACGGAGAATTCTAAGGCTGCACACCAAGGTGACAGCTGGCTTCCAGGCTCCCGCCCTCTGAAGCTTAGCAGGCGAAGGCCAATTCTGCACTATGCAAACAGAATGGTGCTGCACCTGGACATGGAGAGACCACCAGTCACGAGAGACCCACACCCATAACTGTGACTTGTCAACCACTGAAATGCCATTCCCCTCTCTTGACATTTCTTTGTAAACAGTTTGAACTCAGGACCTTGTGCTTGTGAGGCAGGTGCAGTGCCACTGAGCTAAATCCCCAGCACTATTTCCCTTCCTTACAAGGAGGGGAAAGTGAAGTCCAGAAGGCCGGGGACTTGCTCGTGGGCACAGCTGATGAGAGGCAGAGCAGGACCCAGAAGCCATACCATATCCACCATTCTTTTAATCCTACAAAACCTCCTCTTTTGAAGCGAGAGGGTAGTGGACACCCCTGGTTCAGGAAGCCAGGGGGATGCCCCACCCGGCCACTCACCTGGACATCTCTCTGGACGAGGGTCATGTCCACATTTGTGCTTTCATCTCGGTTTCCCTGAGAGGAAGCAGGGTGCCAGGCTGAGCCCACGCTTGGAGCGATGCACCACGACACCCCATTCTCCCCTTCTTCCCTGCCGCCCCACCCCACCGTCCCACTCCAATTTCCCGTGTGGGGAAGCACCTGAGAGAGGGAGACAAGGAGCCGCTGGAAGTGCCCGGATGTGTCGCTGCGAATGGCCTCCTCCAGGGTCTTCTTGAATTCTGCAAGAGAGGCACAGGAAGGTCACCCTGTGGCCCACTGCAGATCTGGGCAGCTGTGGGCAGCAGTGGGAGGAGGGCCCAGGGCCCAGAGCCAGGGAGACACGTGGTCCACAAGGTCCTCCAGGGACACACAGGCCTAAGCCCCGGGGGCTGTCACAGCGCTGGTCAGGCTCGGCCAGGTCACACGCAAGGTCTTCCGGGCCAGACGTCCCCACCTTAGTCACCTGTCCAGGTAAACTGCAGGTAGGGCAGGGCATCGGGTGTGACCCAGCAGGCTGGGAGTGGAAGGAAGTGGTGATAAGGAGGCCTGGAGGGGTACAGGGTCCACAGAGAGGGTGTGACCAAGGCCACAGGGTACAGAGGCCCTGCGGGCGCAGCAGGCACCTGTTTTGTAGACGCGGCTCAGCTCCCGGATGTGTGCGTTGCTGCGAGAAGCCAGGATCTCGATCAGACAGGCTTCATCCGTGCCGGCCCCCTGTGGCGGTGGAGAACACAGCAGACCACAGGTTGTGACAGTGTCTGGGAGGGAGGGACAGCGGGAGCCGCATGACAGGGCCTCTGACACAGACACGGCCACTGCACCTCCAGCACCACGACACGGGTGACCGCCTCTTGGGAAGGGATCCACGATGGCCTTCCCACCAACCGGGAAACTGAGACTCAGAGAGGTGCAGCAACCGCCCAGGGACACGGCACGTGGTCAGGTGGCCGTGTTCCAACTTCAGCCCCTGAGTGAGACGACAACCACTGGGAAGACCAGCAGTCAGCAAGAGACATCAGAGTGACCTTGTAGAAACACCAGACTCCCCACTGGACTGTGGAGTGTGTGGAGACCTCAAGGACAGGGCAGCAACAGCGAGGACAGAGGAGTTACCATGCTAGGCACAGCAGGAAGGTGGAGGACAGGGTCAGCAGCCTGGCTTTCAGGTAGGTCTGAATCTTGGCTCCAAAGCTTACTTGCTGTGTGACCTGGGGCAAGTTACTTAGCCTCTCTGTGCCTTGGGCTCCTGGTCCATAAAATGGGAGTGATCCACGTAGGAGTCATGAGGATCATATGAGTTAAGGTACGTAGGGCATTTAGTTCGGGTCAGGCAAGAAGTACGGCATGCTTCAGCTGTTTTTACGACTACCACTGTGCCAAGCTACCCTCGGATTACACAGCATTTACAGAGGGCATACGCACCAGCCACCTTACCCAGGGCCACGCACATGCTGGGCACCACTGTCCCCCACCCTGGATGCAGCACCCCCCACACACAGGAAGCTACTGGAGGTGGCGCTGGGCAGCGGCTAAGCCAGCCCCTGCGGGACCCTAAGGACCTAATAAGCCCCAACCACAGTCAAAAAATGACTGGATGGCAGAGACGGCGAACAGGCACTGAGCGCCGGAGCTGCCCACTTGGGATCTGGAGAAGGGACAGCTGGTCCGCACTTCAGCTGGGCCCCGAGAGGAGCAAACGCTGGGGGAAACCATGGGAAACCCCTTCCCACAGCACACGCACTCCAAGCCAGGAGTGCACGGAGCAACAGCACTAAGACCCACATCATGCCGACCCAGGCACGCACACACTCACACGTACACACCTTGATGGCCTCCTTTATCTCATAGGCGTCAAACTGCATTGGGGTCTTCATCAGAGCCAAGATGGCCTTCTCAAAGTTCCCCGACAGCTCAGATTTCAGGTCTTTGATCAAATCCTAATTAGATATTCACACGAGCAAGTAAAACAAGCCTGCGATGTCAAGGACCGAGTTTGATCCCCAGTACCAAAACAAAACGAAACAAAAACAGAGAACTGTACGGAACAAGCCTGCACTGAGAAGAACCTGTGAGGGGTTGGGGGAGCGTACACACGAGAACAGATTCCAGAGATATGGGGGACATGGGCATCACCCTGGCCCCAAGGACAGAAGCCCGACCTCAGGCCCTGCCAGGACCCTTTTCAGAGCCTGCACTACCAGGGGAAGCCAGGGACACAGGGCACTGAGGCTGGAGGGGGGCTGACTCTAGTCAACATTGGCCCAACTTTTACCTGGGAGTTCAAGCCCAGCCCCCCGGCATCTACTCTGACCCGAAAGCCTTTCCCTCCAAAGTGCTCACATGAGCAAAACCTCCCCAGGTGCAAAGGAAGGAAAACTGAAGCCAGGGGAGGGGAAGTGTCCCCAGTCTCGTGAGTCGTGACTAGAGCCCAGAACTGTGGGTACCTGTGCCAACTTCAGTTCCCCGTGAACTCAGGGACTGTTCCCTTGGGGCATCCTTCACCAGGAGGTGGCAGCGGGAAGTGCCCTGTGTAGCTCAGTGTCCAGGCCCCCCGGTTCCAACCGAGGGGCAGCGCAGCCACCCCACCGCCAGAGGTCCTGCTTCCCCGTGCCTCACCTTGCCATAGGCCGTCTTGAAGGACAGGCTGATCTGCTGCCGCTGCTTGTTGGAGCGACTCCCCAGGCAGTCGATGATGGCCTGCTCGTTGGTGCCTGGGGAGGAGGAGGTGGGAGCCGCAGAGCCAAGAGTCACAGGAAGGCTCTGCACCTATTGACATCCCAGTCTGCAGCCTCCAATTCTCCAGGGCAACCCAACCCCACCTTGCATCACCTCCTCTTCCATCACCACTGGGCCCAGCTGACCTTCCCCAGACCACAGAGCCCCTGTGAAACTGCCCAGGAATCAGGGTAAGGGGAGGACATCAACCCCCCAGGGTCTCTCACCAAAGCCCTTCATGGCCTTCCGCAGGACCTCAGCATCTCGCAAGGGGTCAAAGCCGGAAGCGTCTGTGATGGTGCCTCGGTTTCCAAACTACAGACAATCATAGGTAAGAGGATCTGCATGCCACCTCCCTCAGACGGCTCCACCCCCAGACTCTGAGACAAGAGTTGGGTGTCTGAAGGATCCAGAAATCAACAGCTCTCCTACAGGACTCTAATAAAGGCTGCCCAACATGGCGTTACCCATCCTCAAATCCTGGTACTGGATCCCTGCCTGGCTCCTGAGCGGAGAGACCCCACGGCTAAATCCTGGCCCTGAGAATCTGTCCTATGCCCACCCAGCTCCTCTAGGGCAGGCTGCAGGAGCAGAGGCTTAAGGCCTTCTCCTGCCACAGGGAAATGTGGCACATACCAGGGTGCTCCAGACAGGGCCCCAGGAGCTGCAGTACCCAACCTTTCAAAGGCACTCAGCCACCAGGCTAACCTGCCTGCTGTCAGTAGCTACAGTAAGTGACGCATGCTCAGAGAGATGATGGCTGAGGGAACATGGGGCAGGGGTTGGGAGGGGAAAGAGAGGACCCCCTGCTAAAAACAGTCACCTCACACATACCACCAGCCCTGTGCTGGGCCAGTTTGGCCATGTAACCATGACAATGGGTCCTAGGCCCTGCAAGCACAGACTGTTCTCCAAAGTGAGCCAAAAGAAACCCGGAGGACCTGCCAACAATTTTCCCTCCCCAAAGGGGACTGCAAGAACATTCCAAACCCCATCCAGAAGGCACATTTTGGGGCCTATTGGGCACGGGAGCCTGGAGGCTGGTGGCCTGGGCATCTCCTTCACAGCACACAGCCCACTGCGTCACAGCAGGAATGAAGGGCGCTGCTGGGGCACCCTGACCCAGTTTGCACTCAGGATGTCTAGCCAGACTGGGAGAAGGGGCAGGCGGCTCCCTCAGCCCCAGGGGTGGGGGCCTGGGAGAAAAGTATATTCCAACAAACCAAGAAATGTAAGCTGTGGGACTGAGCCTTCCCATCCTGGCCAAAAGTCTCCAGCCTTTGGGCTCAGGGCTGGACCACACTCACCTGGGATGGGGGCACAGCGGGCGTGATGGCCCCAGACCCTGAGTATCCTGGGTAGCTTGGCATCGGCTGCTGCCCTGGGGTCGGCATTGGCTGCTGCCCCGGGGGTGGCATTGGTGGCTGCCCAGGGTAGGTCATTGGCGGCTGCCCAGGAGGTGGCATGGGTGCCCCTGGGTAGGGTGGATAGGAGGGCACCCCAGAAGGCGGGTTCCCTCCAGGGGGTGGGTACATTCCATACGGAGGAACAGGCTGCTGGGAAGGAGGGGGCTGCCCAAAGCCGCCAGGGGGCACAGGAGGGTAACCTCCCCCGGGCGCTCCAGGGTACAGGCTGGCTCCTCCAAACGTCCCCGACATGCTGGGCGCCTGCAAGGGCACAAAGCGGAGCCTGTGACGCACTGCAGGTCCAGCCATGCTTTGCCCACTGCCCTCCCTGACCGGAGCCCCATCGCAGAATTTGGCCCCTGCCCTGGAGCACCTCACGAGATGCAGCCGGCACCCTGACTCCCTGTGGGCCCAGACCAGGCACCCCCACCCTTTCCCCTCCGAAGCCTGCTCCTTCCTTCCCAGGCCCACGAGTGAAGGCAGAGTTCAGAGGCCCAGAAAGTACAGGGGTTTCTCATAGGCTTGGTGGGGCCCCATCTCATCACCCTGCTGAACACGCACCTTGGCGGTGAGGCTTGGGTGGACGCGAGCTCCTCACAATGAAGGCCTGCAGGCTGGGCAGGAGACCTGGACCCCCACTCCTTCTCGGCCACCCTAGCCTCCCCTGCTGCCCAGGGCTCTCTGGGTCACATCCATGTAGCACACCCGTCCCCTGCGGCAGACTGCTTCAGTCCGTGTCCCTTTCTGGCCTGCCTCGACCCCTATCCTAAATGCCCCACCCCTCCCCACCTACCCAGCTCCTACCCCTCACCAGCTCTTGTTGCTCCCACAGCTCCCCCATCTCAGCACTGCCACAGAGCTGACTCTGGCTGCCCCTTTCCCATCAGTAAGTGCTCCAGGCCTGAGACTCCCACTGGTTCTATTCACAAATTCCCAGTGCCTAGAACTGGGCCTCGCACAAATTTGGGTGTGTACTGGCTGCATTGTTTCCACTAAGCACACTCTAGGTTTCACCTTATAAAATACATTATTTTAAAACAAATGAAAGTCGGGCATATCTGCCCAAGCTACTGCTATGCTCCCAGCCAGGACCAAACCAGAATAGCCACCCATATGAGGACGCACACGTAAGGTACACAAGACACTTACAGCACAAGCATGCGCACGCATGCACACACACAGCCTCACTTCCTCAGACCCTGCACTGAGCTCATAAGGTACTCAGCAGATTTCCACAAAGATCCACCCGACCAAGCACACCAGGACCAGAAGGACCCAGAAAAATCATGCCTTCAGTGCATTTCCTACTCCTTAATCTATGGAAGGGAGAGCTGAGGCGCAGAGAGCGGCATCATGCAGCTGGCAGAGCCTTGATGAAGACCCTCCTGTTCTAAGAGGCAGCTGGGCACACCCTACATCCCCGGGGGCCGGCGGTGTGGCCATGCCCCGGGCAGAAGCATAGACTCACCATTCCTGAGAGGTAGTCCTGGTTGAACTGCCCTGCGTAGTTGGTCACGTTATCCAGCCCGATGGGGGGCCCGCCGGGCGGCGGGTAGGCAGCACCTCCCCAGGCGCCGCCACCTGCAAGTAACACCGAGCTCTCAGCCCCAGCCTATGCCCTGCCCAGTGGAGGGAGGCAGAGGGAGTCGGGAGAGGTGAACAGAGCCTTGGGCCAGCACTACAGAGGACAGAAAGGCCAGGTGGAGAGTCAGGCCAGAGAGGAGGCCTCGCCCCCATTCCCCACTGAATACTCAGTGGGGCATTCAGGAGGCAGCGAGGGCCCACGACATGGAGCAGGAGCACAGACACAGAACTACCACCTTGGGACTCTGCGCTGGGCCCGTGGATTCAGAGCTGCACGGGCACAGGGCAGGGGTCCCCACTAGCTGAGCTCTTCACTGTGATAAGTCGGTAACAGGAAAGGAGAGGCAGAATGACAGCCTGGAGGGACTCGGGCCTGCATCTCGGGAAACATGGACCCCAACCACTACCCACAAGGGGATAGCAGTGACATGCCCGGCTCTGGACCAGCAACAACCATGTCCTGGGCTCTCAGCTACTCGGGGCTCGTCTCCTGCAGCCCAAGCTGCTGCGGTGAGGGCTGAGTGAGCGATGCCTCACATGAACTCTGCCCCTGAGAACTAACTGCGGCAGGGCAGCTGGCACCATGGGGGGAGGCTGCAGACGCTCCTGGCACAGCCTCTACTAAGCCGCCTGCCCGCCCTCTCTTGCTGCTCAGGGGTGAAAGAGCAGAGCCGCGGGAGTTCTGCTGCAGAGGGGCACAAGGTCAGTGTTAACCAGTCGGGGGTGGGGGTGCTGCTCCAGCAGTGCGGCCACAGCAGCAATGCCCCACCACTGGGCCTGTCCTCTGCCTGCCGAAGGCGAGGGACAGCGAGTCCAAAGTGGGCCCCAGGACCTCGGCTCTCCAGAATGAATGAGGGCCTGGGGTAACCCGGGGTGAAGGGACAGTGCGGCTCAGACACCCTTAGAAGATGACCATCCTCAAAATGTCTCCCTATCATCCCTGGAGACCTCCTACTTTTTTCCAGCTTCGGGGACCAAACAGGACAAAAAGGACTCCTAAGGGTCAAGATAAACTTTGCTGCCAGGCCAGTTTCAGTCACGTGACTGATGCCTCTACTTCCTTCCTGTGCAGCCAGCACCTGTGACAATGGCAATGCTTTAGGGGACACCATGACTGAGGCTTCACCTGTCTTATCTCTGGTGTCCAGGACAGCTCTGCAAGCGGAGATCCAGGAAAGGCAAAAATGCAGTCTCAGAGAGGTGAAAGACTTGTTCACAGTTACTGGCTAACAAGGCAGGAGGACCCTGGCCCTGTCCAGGACTCCTGGAACCAGCTCCAAGGCTCCCTCCTCTGTTCTCTCCTCCCACGAGGCAGTGCTGGGGAGGATGGGGAGCAAGGGAACTCCGACCCCTCTTACCTGGTGCAGCTGGGGGGTAGCCGCCAGGGGGCGGGGGGTAGCCTGGGTAGCTCATGGTCAGATCTGAAAGGGAAGAAAAGGGGCATTCAGACTTAGCCAGGTCATCTCTACCCTGGCCTGCAGTCCCGGTTCCTCATGAGAACAGCGACCACGGGGCCCAGGAAGGAGCAGGTGCACAGGCCCGCTTGCTGCAATGCAGTTTATACCCTCTCTCCTCCCTGCACCCAGATCTCCAATCCCTGCAAGGCCTCCAGCTAGGACTTCAGGGCCAGGCCCTGCACCATGGCTGCAGGGATTTGCCAGGCTCAAGTCTGAGCCCTTGGGTTCCCAACAATGGAGTACTCCTCTGCTCTAAAGAAGGATAATCTTGAGTCATCTGTAAGAAAACAGATGCACCCTGGGACCATAATGTTTGTCTTTTTGTTTGATTTTTTTGGTACCGGGGATTGAACTCGGGTCCCTGGGCTTGCAAGGCAGGCCACCGAACCGCTGAGCTAAATCCTCGGCCCCCTGTAACCATGTTAACGGACAAAAATCAGACATAAAGGCTTAACTACCACATGGTTTGTCTTATACAAGAAACCCAAAGGATAAATAAACAGCAAAATAAAAGACAGATAATAGGAAATGGTGAGATAGATCTGTTAACAGAAGAGAAGAGGACCAAGAGATGGCGGGAGGGGGATGAGAAAGAATGAGGATGTGTTACGTGCACGTACAACTCCCCACAATGAATGTAACCATCGTGCTCTGCAAACATGGACTAATAAAATTAAAGTCCACCCCGCCTCGCGGCCACCTCCGCTGACCAGGGCACAGCCTGCGCACCGCACCTGTTCTCAGGTGCCAGACAGCACTCGGCCTCAGGGCTCCAGGTCTGTTTGCCTTCTCTCCTGGGCCCTTATCCCCAGCCCTCCCGCCAGTCTCCCTGTGCCCACGCTACCCTGGGGTGACCAGGCTGCCCTCTCCATCTCCCAAATTCACTGGGCGAAGGGACCCGACTGGCCCCTGGCAGCAGGAAGGACCCCAGGAGCTGAAGCTCAGAGAAGCGATTGCTCATACATCACACAGGCAGGGAGGCAGAGGCCCGGAACCCAGGGCAGCAAGTGGGACAGCTGGCCCTAAGTCCCTCTGTACACAGATCCTTGGCAATGTCCCGGGCCGGATAAACTGCCCAGGAGGGACCCGATCAACTGACACCAGCCACTCAGAGACTGTGGCAACCTGCCTGCTCTTTCCAGCTCCCAGCACCCCTCCTGGACAGCCACCCATCCACCGCCACAGTTGCTCCTTCTTCTGCACATCAGTCACCATATCACACAATATCTGGTTCTGGGTCACAATGAGTTCCCAAGTGGTGTTCTGAGCCAGGGGCCATGCCAGACACCCTTCACCCACCAGACTCTAGGCACCCTCCTGCTACTTTGAAGAACAGAGCCTGTGGCTGATAAGGAAGATGAAGGACTTCCTTAAGGGGTCGCTGGTCCCTGCAGGTGCGCTGGTTCTCAGGCCTACAGGTGCAGCCACTTGGTCCAGCAGTGACCCCAGGCAAAGCAGTGGGAAGCCAGTGACACCTTGGTGACCTTGGATAGAGTAGGCGTGGTCAAACAGACAGACCAGGCCCAGGGCCTCCCGCAGGCAGGCACACACACACACACAAGCGCTCGCACACGTGCATGCACACACACACGGTATTATCTTTTGGAGCCCTAAGCACAGGTGGCTGAGGCCCCAACGGTGCTGCCCTGAGACACAGTGGTGTCCCTGCCTGGCCTGACCCTCTGCCCTGGCCCTACAGGTGGAGGCAGCCTGGGGGTGTTGAAGACAGGAACTGCCCCACAGGAGGGCAGGTGGGGCTGTGAATGCCCACTGCTGCTGGCGCCTGCTCCGCTAGAGACACCCTAGGGCCTTCAGGTACCAAAGCCCTGTTCTCCACTCCACTCACTCCTCATTCATGTGCCAAACAAATCTCGGAATGGTTCCAAACCCCAAAGGTATAAAATAAAGCTTCTATATGATATGAAAGAGAGAAAGAAAATGGTGTAGAGAGAAATGACAAACTTAGGAAACAAGTTTTACAAAAAAAAAAAAAAAAAAAAAAAAAAAAAAAAAAAAAAAAAAAAAAAAAAAAAGAAAAGAAAAGACTAACTACTCAGGAAGCTGAGGCAGGAGAATCACTCGAGCCCAGGAGTGCAAGACTTGCCTGAGCAACACAGAGACCCTGTTTATAAAATAATAGAAACAACAAGAAAGACCAGAAACTGGTGAACAGGCAAAAGAGGTTCACCTTCTAAGATGCTAAGAGAATCATCAATTAAAAGCACAAAGGTGGGCCGGGGATTTAGCTCAGTGGTGCCACCACCTGCCTCACAAGCACAAGGTCCCCAGTTCAATCCCTGGTACCAAACAAAAAGCACAAAAGTGCCAAGATTAGCAATGATACACCTTGGACCCAGCAGCTCTACTAAAACTTTACTTCCTAGACTCACTTACACCTGTGCAAAATGACATTAAGGACACAGTTTTCATGTGGAATTACCTGTAACAACAGAAAACCTACACCATTTAATGCTGGTTAAATACCTCACAACAGAGCCCTAAGTAGCTGTGTAAAGCTGATTTCAGAATCAGCCAGCTCTGTCTACCAGGACATGGAATGATCCCCACTGCTGATCAAGGAGCCATACCACGGGTAAACTAGGCTAATATGGAAAGAAACAAACCAGAAACACACGACCTGGGAGGTGTCTGTGTGTGAATGCGCACACACCATCCCTGGAATGGTGACCAACACTAGGGGAAAGCAGAGGCTGGAAGTGATGCTGCTTACATAGGAGCCCTTCCTATTCCTGCCATGTGCATGTATTATCTAATTAAAAGCAGCCTTTAAAAGGCTCAATTTAAGCCTGGTGTGGTGGTATATGTCTGTAATCCCAGCACTTGGGAGGCTGAGGCAGGAGGATCGCCAGAAGGCTGAGGCCAGCCTGGCTACACTAGTGAGTTCAAGGCCAGTCTGAAGTGTACAGTGAGACCCAAACAAAAAGGCCCATTTCAGCGGGGCATTCCTGACTGCACCTGTGGCTGCCCCTCCTGCCTCACACAGCCACAAAGCTCTTCCAGGATGAAAATAACTCACACAGGCCCCATTCATCTTAATAGCCAGGGGAGCAGTAAGGCACCGCATGCATTCCCAAGAGGGCTTTGGGGAGTTTCCCTGACTCTGGGCAAGAGCTCTGTCCCAAGGGGGCCCCAGGGTGGGGCTCACTCCACTGCAGGGCCACGGTGTCCCCAGTGCCCCAACACTCCCTCCGGCATTCCCTCTCCAGAAAGCACAGCCCCGTCTGCCCAGTTTTTTTCCATTAAGTATATTGGGACATTTAAAGCAAACAATAAATACAGTTACAGGATCTTGTACCTTTACATGACAGGTCTTGGTTCTCATTCTTCCCCACACCCCTGCCCTCCCTTCACCCCCTTCACCCTTCCCTATTTACAAAGACTTTGTTCCCATTTTTTCTTTGCCCTTATTTCCTTTCCCCTCCCCTTCCCACTTCCCCTTTAGCCATTTTATTCCTATTTCACCCTCTCAATTCCCGTCTGCACAGTTTTGAAAGCAGTAGGATCTGTTTCGAGCCTGCTTCGATCTCGTCTTCCCCAAGCCTTTCCAAGGCCCCACTGGGGTCTGAGCACACAGGCCAACACCATGCCCTTCCCGGGACACAGCTGTCCCTCCCCGGGGTGGGTTTCCCAGGTAATGGAGCCCCGCGCCGGTGCTGCTCCAGAACCCCGCAGCTCTCTCGGACTCCTATCTGTGGGTTTGGCCGGCACAGTGCTCTTCCAATTATTACCTGACAAAGGCCCAAGCGACCAGTCCTGACCTGTCACAAGGGCCACTCCCCAGCGTGACATCAGACATCAAGTGCCCCAGGGCACAGGCATGCAAGCAGCTGTTCCCCTAACTCTGCCACAATCTAGCTCACAGGAGGGTGGTAACCGGACCATCCCCATCCATCCACGAGGCTGTACACTGACTTCCCCTCCCCTCCCAGCCCCACCCAGCCCTGAGCCTCCAGTGGCTGGTGACAAAAGCCAGCTGATCCGCCTGCTCTCCAGCATTGTTTGTTTTTTTAAAGGAAAGGTTTAATTTGCCTCAGGTCTTCAGCATATACTTGAGTATTTTCATTTCCACGCTGCCTTCTTTCTACTGGTTTTTATTTGGGAGACAGAGGCTCGCCCTAGAACTCACTATGCAGTTCAAGCTGGCCTTGAACCACACTCCACCACCTGCCTCAGCCTTCCAAGTGAGTGGATTACTCTTAGCTCCTGTTCAGTCCTCTGACAAAATAGGCGCAAGGAGGGCAGGGGCAGGGGGTGATTCCTACTGCTGGTGTGATCCAACAGCCAGGACATCCCCCTTGCCAGCTTCTGATCATGGCCCTGGATGCAGGGACTGTGGCAAGATCTTCCCGCATGCAGGCAGCTGGCTCCAGCATGACTCCAGCTATTAGAACCTGGCCATCCTCCAGTCCTGGCTCTCTAGCAAAAACACCACCTTCTTTCCTCACTGGAACCCTCTGCCTGCAGCTGTGGCCTCCCCAGCTAAACTGGAGGCTCAATAAAACCCAGTCTGCGGGGGCCCCACACCAGAACCTCAGAAACAACAGGTCAGGGGCCCTGAGAAGCAGCATTTCCCACACACTTCTGGGAGACTTTCATGCTGGACCTTGGGCACGCTGGTGTAGCCCTGCCTAACCGGATCTCTCCTGGAGAGCCATGGGTCCTGTTCTGGGGTGAGCCCAGGAATCTAAGATGTACACACTCATGCACCAACCCTGAGTCCCAGAAATCTCGATGTCACTGACTCTGTGCTCCACACTCAGGGAAAACGTTCTTCCAGATTCTTGGACACATTCTCTCTCGGGGTCACCAAAGGGCCTGTTCTCGAAAGCTGCACACATGTACACAGTACCCTGGTAAAACATAAAGGCCCCACAAGGACACCAGCCAGAGTCTCCAAACACAGGAATCTAGAAACTGTCTGTGGGGACAGGAGGTGACAGCCACCCCAGCACCGTGGGAGCCTGGCACTTCCCCACCCTAAGAGTGGGATGGGAGACCCGGCCTCAGGCCGGCAGCGGGACTCCCCACTGCACATCTGAGAGCCTGCGTGACTTCCGGAGACCAGAAGGGGGCAGTGTCAGGCCTGGCACAGGTACAGAGGGGGTAACGAGGAGGGACAGCAGGGGCTTGCACAGGGACAGAGCCCATCAGGAGCTAATGTTGGGAAGCAGAGAGGCCCGAGCCCCTCAGTGCCCAGTAGCAAACCCAGCAGGCCTGGCTGAGAGCGGATGCCCCCGTGGGATGACCCTCCCCGATGGCTGGAACACTCATGTGTTCATTAGGGTCTGTTTTATTGGTACATTTTAAATACACATAATGATCACACCCATCATAGGGAATTCGTACCTGTAATGTGATACATCTTGCTGCTGCTTTTTTTCCCATTCCCTTCCCTTCAACCCCTCCCTGCTTCCTTATTTACAAAAGCTCTGTTTCCATTTTTTCCTTCTCTTTTTTCTTGTCCCATCCTTTCCCCCTCCTGCCCTCTCTTGTTGCCCTTCTCATTTGAACATTTTCTTCCCATTTCCCAGTATCTATTATACATTCTGGTCCTTATTTACACTTTGGTTTCTCACACCAGAGAAACAATGCGATATTTACACGGGTGTCTGATTTATTCCACTTGAGAGTGGGGTCTCAAGGTGCATCCATTTAGCAAGAAATCCTCAAGCACACCCTTCTTGATGGCAGAGAAGTACTCCACTGTACAAGAAAACCACGTCTTCTTTATCTATTCATTGGCTGATGGGGAGATTTGGGCTGTTTCCAAGATTTAGCTATTACAAACTATGCCACTATAAACATGGGTGTGCATATACCACTGTGGTAGGATGTTTTTAATTCTTTTGGGAAGATACCCAGAACGGGTGTTCATTAGTTTTTAATATTAAAACTTTAATCTGTTTTGACCACAAAAATCTCAGTATACTATCTAAATTATGCAGCTCTGGGCTGGGGATTTAGTTCAGTGGTTCCACCGCCTGCTTCACAAGTGCAAGGTCCTGAGTTCAATCCCTGGTACCAAAAATAAATAAACTACGCAGCTCTGAAGAAGCATATATATATATAAGCATACATACATACATACACATTTTTTAAATTTTTTTTTTGTTTTTTTGTTTTGGTACCGGGGATCGAACTTGGGTCCTTGCGCTTGCAAGGCAGGCGTCGGAACCACTGAGCTAAATCCCCAGCCCTTTTTTTGGTTTTTTGAGACAGGGTCTCATCATGTAGTTGAGACTGACCTGGAACTCACTGTGTATCCCAGGATGGTCTCAAACTCACAGTGATCCTCCTGCCTCAGCCTCCCAAGTGCTGGGATTATAGTCATGCACCACCACGCCAGGCTGCTTATATATTTTTTACATGAAAAGAAAAGATCCAGTGTGGTGGTGCGTACATGTAATGATCCCTGCTACTTGGGAGGCTGAGGAAAGAGGGTCCCTTAAGTCCAGGGGGACAAGGCCACCATGGCAAAATAATAAGACCCATCTCAAAATATAAAATACAGAGAAGATAAGCCACAGCATGGTAGAAAGTATGTGTAGAAGGCACTTCAGATAAAGGCACTTCAACCTCAACAAGAAAACAAACCACACATTTTTTTTAAATGGGCAAATGGCCTACACAAAAAGTTCATGAAAGAGGATACAGAGATGACAAGCAAATGCTAAAGCTCACAACGTGTTATTAAGAACTGCCAAGCTGGGCATGGTGGCGCACACCTGTAATCCCAGCACTCGGGAAGCTGAGGCAGGAGGATCGTTGTGAGTTCGAGATTAGCCTGCGCTACATAGTGAGTTCCAGGTCAGTCTCAACTACATAGTGAGACCCTGTTTCAAAAAACCAAAAAAAAGACAAAAAAAGAACCGCCAGTTAAGAGAAGGAAACACCACCACACAGCCATCAGAGTGGCCCAGGTCCACCACACCACACTGTGAGATGCTGCGGAGGGACGTGGAGTAGGAGGGGTGCTCACTCACTCACTCCTGGGAGGAGGTACAAAGTGACACCGCCCCCTTGGAAGACGTCTGGCAGTTTCGTAAAAAACCAACATTTACCAAACAACCCAGCAAATGAGTTTGGAACCTACATCCACACATGAATACCTGCACCCAGGTATGAGCACGAGTCAGCCTTCCGTCACCGTGATAAAATGGGTGAGATAAACAAACCACTGACAAGGAGCGTTTGTTTCGGTTCTCAGTGTCAGAGGTCTAAGCCGGAGGTCAGCTGCTTCTGGGCCAGGAAAGAGGCAGCAATGGTGGGAGGACGAGGAGGAAGAGGTAGGGTCCCAGAGGCTAAACCTCCTCCAAGCAGGCTCTGCTGCACAAAGGCTCTACCATGTCCTAACAGTGTGGCAGGCTGGGAACCGAGTCTTTAATGTGGCCTTTGGGGGACATTTCAGATCCAACTATAGCAGCATTTAGAGTGCTTTTATTCACAGTGCTGAACTTAGAACGATTTTCAGTAGGCAAATGGCTAAATAAACGATAGCACACTCAGAAAACAGAATATTATTCTACATTAAAAAGAAATGAGCTTTCAAGCCATGAAAGGACATGGGCAGGTGTGTATTGAATGCATATTACTAAGAGCAAAAAGTCGATCTGGAAAGGCTATAGATCAGTGATGGCGAACCTTCTGGAGCTTTCAATGATACGAACAGCCCATGGGTTCACCACCACTGCATCTAGACTGTCACATTCCCACTGCAGGACACAGCAATGGCAAGTGACGGTGGGAAAAGGTGAATGGTTGCCAGGTGCCCGGAGGAGGAGGTGAAATACAGAGGACTCTTAGGGAAGTGAAACTCTTCTATGTGACCCTATAATGGGTAGAAACACAGCATCATACGTTAGTCAAAAACCCCCAGAACGCACAACACCAGAGTGAACCCCAACAATCACTAAGAATTGTGGGTGGCAACGACGTGTTGGTGTCCGTTCACAGAGTGTGACAAATTCAACAGTTTGGTGGGAGCGGGGAGTGGGGTGGGAGGAGGAAGCTATGCAGTTTCTGCTCAGTTTTGCTGAGAACATAAAACGTCCCTAAATACATTATATTTAAAAGAATAAAAGGAGCACAAGCACACTGTAGAGAAACCCAAAGGGAACAGAAAGGCACAAAGCACCTCTATCCTCTTCTCTGAGTCTATCTCCTTCGGTAGAGGTGAGCAGTTTTTCTGTTTTCGAGACAGGATCTTGCAGTGTAGTTCAGGCTGGCCTTGAACTCACTATACAGCCCAGGCTGGCCTCGAATTCATGGCGATCCTCCTGCCTCAGCCTCCCAAGTGCTGGGATTACAGGAGTGTACCATGACACCTGGCTCAGGTGAGCAGTTTCTAATGTATAGTTCAAGACAGCCAAACACAAAAGAATGCATATATATTGTAAATGTGTACACAAGTAAATGCGCATGCCTGTGTATTTAGTTCACCTATGTTCCGGACTTACAGGAAAAACTACTTACACATGCGTAAATGTCCTCGCTCGGCCCCACTGTAAATGTGGGGTACCACTGTGATATGAAAAGCAGCACAAATAGGGCAGGCGTGCGGGACGGAGCTGTTACCTGTGAGACCTGCACTGTTCCGGTTCAGGTGCGAATGGAGCTCCATAGCAGAACGGGCTGGTGTTGGAGCATCAGTCAGTCTGCAAAAACCCT